GATGTAACCTAACACGACCTTGCTGTCTGTGTAGAAATGTGTGGCATCCAGGTCAACATTGATTTCTGAAGTGACGAGCTCAGCTAACTCCACTGCCAACACTGCTGCACACAGCTCCAGTCTCGGTATTGTATGTTCTGGTCGTGGAGCAAGTTTTGCCTTAGCTAGAACAAACGCGACATGGCGTTCTCCGTCAGCATCTGTAACTTTGATATAAGCAACTGCGGCTATTGCTTTGGTTGAAGCTACAAAGTACTCGCCGTTGAGCTTTGGAGAGGGAGACTGGTGCATATGTTCTTGGGATATGGAGACTTTCCAGATCTTTCAGGGAGTCTTTCCATGCTGTCCACAGCTTCCCTTTATCAGGAGGTGATGGGGAGTCCCAGTCACCCGCTTCCATGGTGAGCTCACGAACGATAGCTTTGCCTTGGATGGTAACTGGAGCAACAAGTCACAGGGAGTCGTATAGACTGTAAACTGTAGAAGGGACACCCCGGCGAGTATATGGCTTATCTTCGTCTACAACCTGGAATGTAAACGTATCTGTCTCAAGCTCCCAAATGATTCCAAGGCTACGTTGCGTTGGCAACGTGTCTGTACCGAGCTCCAGATCCTTCAAGTTGTTTGCGTAGTCTTGGGAGGGAAAGGCTCTCATTACCTCACTGCTATTTGATGCGATCTTATGTAACCTGAGGTTCGAGCAGGCAATTGCCTGCAAAAACTCCTGCTCTAACCAAGACATATAATCTTATATCCAGCTAAAAAGTCTTATTGATCTTATTTTGGGAATAATATACCAGGTAAGAGCAGATTGTGTAAGATAATTTAGATTATTTTAGGAATATTTTTCCTTTCTTTTCTTACTTAGTTAGTATATCTTAAAGTTAGTTATTTTTTATGTACATCAAGCTGAATTACTGTTAGAGACCGCAATGGAGCATTTTACGAGGATGTATAGCTGTTAGAGACTGGTTTCAAGACTGCCCAGTAAGAACTGCTAAAATAACAATTCATTATTGTATTTATTGCAAATATTTGTGGTGTGTCAACAACACATTTATTTACAGGCCGTAACAAATCATTTCAACAGTATCAAGTCACCTCACACCTTCCAAAACTTACAGTATGGTTATTCATTTCCAGTTTAAGTGCAATTACATCATCAAGGTTATATTTTGTGAAAACATACAAATTGTTTTTAAAAGTGATTGCATAATATGATGTATAATCAAGTAGCTTTTCAGCATCCTGGAACTCTGTGGCCTATGCAAGATTAGGTACAGCAACTTCAAATGCCAAAAGATCTCTATTCCAACCCAGAGTCTCGTAAAGGTGATATTCAAAGCAATACAATAAACTGCCTATCACATAAATGTTTTTTATAAGTCCAAAAACAGGTACTGTCTCATTTGCATTAGTAATTATCAAAGACTGTTCACGGATGTACTTGTTACCATTGAGAATCAGCCACTTTACACTGACTGCATGTTGTATGCCATCGATCCCCAAAAAACTCTTGTCTTTTCTGTGATGTAATCCATATTTGTCACTTCAGCGACAGGACCCAATTCCCTCTCATGAACAAAAACTGGGTGCTCAGTGCCCATTTCATTTTGACAACATTCAAAAAGCTGATTATGGTTGACGAGTGACTTACAGACATTTTTAAAGTTCAATTTAGATGACCACTGTTTGAAAAAAGAGTGCTTCGACTCAAATCTCATGCACATATGCCTTATTGAAGGGCTCAGAGAAAGGATTTGAGCAGGTATATGCACCATGTAATGTTGCTTAGGAATTACATTATTCTCAGGAAACAGTTGTTTAAACTGTTTGAGATGCTGTTGAATCATTTGTTTCAGTTTCAATACACTTTGCACCGATAAAACAGGTGCAAATATTATCTGAACTATCTCAATCAAGTCTAAAACAAACTGAACATATTCATTCTTCTCAATACTGTTCAACAGAAACTGTAAGGTCTTTAACAATATTAGCATTTGCCCAGAAGACTGTTTTAGTTTGTTATCATTAGATGCCAGGGTACTGACACTGATAGGACAAGGTTTGTCAAGTACATCTACTCTTGAAAAGGGAAAACTTTGGATGGCTGAATTCATATCCAACTCCATTTGTCCAGAGAGAACAAGATATTTTAGCACACACTTTATTTCCATGGGTGCAACACCCTCAAGAATGATGTGCATTATATCCTGTGGAGTTTGCTGAATGAGGTCAAAGGCTGGAAAATCAACCAACTTGCTTCTTCGGTTTTGAGGGCTGCTTTAAGAAGTCAGTGGTAGCCCTTTCAATTTCAATGTGTTTTTCCATTGTCCTTTTAGGAAAGATTTCTTCATCAAAACTCCTTTGCAATTCCTCAAATGTACATTCACAATGCCTACATTTACTTTAGGCAAAACCTACTCCTTCCTTGAAACCTGCAAGCTCATGTTGTGCAAGCGTGTCCCCACTTAGTGAAACAACAGCACCAAATACATCCATTTCACCATTTGGTGTTTGAACTTTGACACCATTATACAACAACTGTAAGTCTTCATGAATTTTGTCCAAAACAACATCAACACCGCACTCATCAATATAACTAGCTTTTGCTATAGCAAGGAGTCTGATTTTTGGGGTCTATGTTTCCTAAGGTATAATAAACCATTAGTAATTTATTCACCGAAGCATGCGACCCGAGGGGATTGCATATCTCTATTTCATCAGTATACAAAATCACCTGTAAAGCAGAAGGTCTTATAGGAAACAGTGGGTGTGATTTGAAAAGGCTCCCGTCAATAATGTCATACAGAAACCGATCTTTGTGACAGCTCTGTGGTTTGTTGTTGATCATATCAAAAATTCTGCAGAAACCCTTTGAGAAATCAGTACCTCCACTGGTTTTACTGGGTTGAAAAGCTTCTGAATGGTTCTGTCTTGCATGTATGAAGAAGCCATTATTGAGAAAGGATCCTGAAAATTATCCAATGTTGCCACCAGTGCCTCCTCTTGGCGCTACTCCATACTCTCAGAAGGTCTTTCGAAGATTGTCTTCATTGTGTCCCTTAAGGTACTCAGAAGAGCAGCTTGATACTGCTGGACTCCAAAGATAATACTGTTGACGCTCCTCTGAAAGAAAAAAAAAGAAAAAGAAATTATAGCACGAGACACATGTTTGTCCATCATCCAGAACTAGCATAACCCTACTAGCAAATCCACAAGATTTCATACAAATATAGCCCCAGATCTCAAGTTTGACTACATACATTTTTGGAATAAAAAAGGACTAGGCAATTAATCAAAAATATATTGAAACTGAAATTCAGATCCTCTAACTGACGTAATCTTGCCCATATCGATTATTCAAAGAAAAATTCTGTGTCTGTTTGTACGCATTTTGACTTTAGTGAAGACAACACTAAACAAAAAGAAGTTAAATGTAAACCTTAAGAAAAAAAACAATTTGTTTCAGCGTTGTTCAACTTTATTGAATATGAACAGTGCATGGCACAAAATAATCAATTATTAATAATCGCCCCCGACTTCTTTTGATTGACCCTTTGCTGTCCACTAGGACCATAAATGGAAAGCATTCCTCTTTGTATATTCCTTTCTCAAAAATTGTCCATTATTGCTATGACAAAGGAATTGATTATAAACTGACCCATTGATGTAGAATTGACAGGAAATGTAGAAAGGGTGCAGTTTGTGAGCAGATTTACTTCATTTTTGACATTTTTTTGCATTTAAATTTAATTTTCAAATGTAATATTACATTTGTAATTAATCTGGTGTGAGTGTTACAAAGAGTGTCAAGATACAATTTAGCACTGAGGCACGGTAGGGTAATACCTGGGACAGGTGGCATTGTTCCCGGACATTAATGACAAACGCTGCTGCACGTCTGGTAAGAGCCTCATGTGATGTACCAGCACATTCCTGTAAACACATGTTGATATACAAAATTGTTCAAACTTGCTGAAGTCTTAAATATTTCTGTTTGTCCTTCTATACATCAGTTTTAATTTTTCTTAAACAAACAAGAAGTGACGGGTTTGTGTTAACAGTCTGCTGTTCAAAAGGGGGCAAACAGGGTACTAAAACATTAACAAAATGTAATGAATATGGTTTTATTATAATATTATGCAAGATAGTAAAAAGTGGAATCTTACCTGATGATCAGCATGTTGAATCTGGGAATCATCAAGCTGAGGATGAGGCATTTCATTTGGGGTGACACTTGTGCTGACTTCACTGCTGGTCCTTTGCATCCCTCTTGTTTGAGTGGCACAGTCAGAAAAAATTGGTAGATGAAAATGTTCTCCTCCAACCCTAGATAGTTCAGATGTAGCTGCTGTCATCCCTCTGGTGGGTGGGTGCCCAGTTGCAAGATACAGAGCATGTGTGCGTCTGATATGGTAGTAGAAGGAGTTGTATACTCTGTATTCTTCGGTACATCCATCAATTCCGCATATAACACGGACATTGGGGTTTCGACTATGTGCTGTGTTGATATGGCTCAAGAGAGACTTTAATGCTAAGGCAACAAAAACTTATCAAATAACACACCTCCAGCAAGCCATTATGTTAAAAGTTGCTAGCTAGCTAGCTAGCTAATGAAAGCTGACAGTTAAATGTTTCAGTTTCAGAAAAAACTACACTAACGACAAAATCAAGAATTGCTAAGACGGCAAGGGCAAAAAATAACTATAGGAGAAACTTCTCCTACAGCCTGCCATGAGATAAGGTATGCTTTTTCATTAAAAGTATATTGCATTTGAGTTACTACGAAAGCTGCACCCTGGTGCAGCAATACTTAAGCAAGCTGATTTATCGAACGTTAGCATAAGTTGACTTGTTGGTTTTCGTTCTGTACAGTGCAGGAAGAAATATTGCTATTGCTAATTTAATGCAAGTCATGGTCAGCTCAAGTTCATTTATATTTGCTTGGCTAGCACTAGCTCTCCTAAACTTATTAACTTCTAACCAAATAGGTTTTTTTTCAGTCTGACTTTCTTTGTGCCACGTGAAACACAGGCGCTGTCCTGAGTAAAAATACAAAAAGAGCATTCTGTCCCTCGCTCCGTTAACAACGAACTGTGAACATCATATTGGTTAATAGCCTATCTAACGTTACAATTCACCTGGCAGACTCATTTTTTTCAGTTGTTCAATAGACATTTTGAACATGTGGCAGACACCATTGAAGTAAGCTAATGTTTTTTAAAATGGTATTAATGTTATAAAGTTACTTTCTTGCAGACGTGAATGCACTTAATCATGAGGGTTTGCGTCGTTGTGGTGCTAAACACATGCAGTGAATTAAAAAGGTTATGTAGATACATGCATAAATAATTTGTATGTTGATAGTGTAGCCGGCGCGGTCTGTGTCTCGCCGACTACTGCGTTGTGTTCAGGTGCACTAATAACAGGACGCTGACATTCCCTTAGGCACTCCCTTCCCTTAATAAAATAAAATAGAATAAAAGTACATACCTGCAGAAATCAAATAAAACATGGACGTGATTCTTCTCCATACACAACCAATACCTATACAAAAATCAGAAACACTGAAACATATAGGCTACCCGCAGGGAGACAAAATGGCGAAAGCTAACGACGCACGCACGCATAGAGCAAGGTGGTTAGCTAGCTATTGCAACGTCCCATTATTCACCTCAAATATAAATTAAAAGAACACAAAACCACTCGTCCCATATGCCCTTACAATATTACACATAAAGAAATGATCAAGTGTACCTAAACAGACAGTGAAATACATTAATTTGGTCTTAATGCTCACGTTGCGTACCTCCCTCAGCCACCGGTGAGCAGACTGACGAGGGCACGCAATGCCAGTCAAACAATACACTCTACCCAAGAGGGCGCTGTTACACAAAATAATATATCTCCTAATACTAAAGCTAATTATATACAGGACAGAAAAAGGATTTTGGAGAAATAAAACACAGTAACTTGAACCAAACACAATTGAAAACAAAAAAAGATTTACATATTTACTTAGACCTGTTACAATAGCATGTTTAAAATTAGGTCCTTACCTGCAAAATCTTATCTGAACATGTCGTTTTGTTTTTAAAAAAAGCTGTTTTTTTTCATTGTTGGCTGATATATTGTCTTAAGTTGTGATTTTCTTCCCACAAGATAAAGGAGTTCGTAGAGGGGACAATCATGGATAAACTGGATGATGTCACAACATCAATTTTAAATCGTATGCTAGGTATAGTGTTAAAAGCTGCTTAATAATGTGTGTTGTCCAATAGCTAATACGCTGATCTCAAAATAAAATTATTGTAAACTTTTTAACAATTTCAAGACACCAAATGTTTAAATTGTATTCAGTCAAGGTATGGACAAGATATACCAGACGATTTAGAACGTATACTTTCACCTGTCATGTTAAATACCAGTTTATCTATAATTTTTAAAATGCCAGAAAATTTACAAAAGCTTTTAATGATTGTACTGTTTTATAGCTGCCAATATTGACGAGACCTTGCTCCACACCCTCAACCGTGATGATTTGCGAGATCTTTTTCCTGGCCCGGAACACTGTCTCAGGAGGAAACGAGTTTGGGCCCTAATCAACCCAGAGGTAGTGGGTACCTACTTTACTCTAAAATATCTAGCATGTGGTTTCTAACTCTAAGTCTGTTGTTTAACTTCTGTACGTTGTGTTTTTTACTTTGTAGGATGGGAATGTCAAATCTGGCCCTAGTGAAGGAGGAACAGTGTCTTCACCTAGAGGAGTGCCTCCAATCTGCCCCCAGACATCTTCTCCTTTGGTGATGAAAAGTCCAAAGAAGACGCTGCAGCTTCCCAGCCCTCCAGAGTATGTGGTCTATACAGACAGGGAGTTGGAACAAGCTCTCAAGCACTACTCTAAGATGGCCCACACTGGCAGAGAAGGGGAGTGTGTCATGTCCAAAGAGCTGAGATGCAGACTGGTGAGGAACACCGTCACCAGCATGATTTCCATCTTGAGAGCCAGTGAGCAAGGAAAATCAATGGCTAAAAGACCCTATGCTACAGGATAAAGACAAAACTATGAAGCATGTAAGTGATTTAAATTTGTGGTAAATATGTTTGTTTATTTATTTTGTCTGGCGTGGTTTATCTGTAACATACAAAGAAGGCATCTAATTATAACCTTTTTTTTTTAACACAGATGAGCATTTACAACAATCTTCACAAGAGGCTGCAGAATGTGAAGTCCCCACAAAATAGGCATGGGCCCACTCCAGAGAGGGGCCAGCCAAAGAAAAGGAGTCTCATTGACTTCTCATCGAGTGACAGAGAAGAAAATTATGCAGACTCAAGTGGTGCATCAACAATTATTTGGCATCAAACATCTGGGAGCAGTTCTGATGATGGCAACAGGTCACGTAAGTTGGAATTGTGTACTTTTGACAGTACTATTGGGCATGAAGACTAAGAAATGGCTATCAGAATACAGACACTGATCATTTTAGTTTAATTCTGATTTTGTTTTGATATATTTAGCTGTTACTGATGATTTTTCATTTGATTGCATCCATTTGGCTCTAAAAAGCCAAAGAAGGGCATATGTTGATGTATAACATGCACAGTATTGCTTTGTGTCTGGTGGAGAGTTACAGTAAGGTGGTTTTATCACTATATTTTGCAATTTCTTATGATGCAAGTCTGACCTGCTGATGTTGATTTCCTTTCTAAGAACTATAATTAACAGCACACACATTGTTCCTTTTCTTTATTGGAGAAATGTATTGTAATGTTATCATTAAAATACAAATAATTACTTAACTATTTTCCTTCAAAATTGCATTATTATATAGGTCATTCAGCATCTCTAATTTTGTTAATTGTTACACTGAACCTATATTATCATTCGGATTGACATGTTTGATACCCATTACTGATTTTTGTTCTCCATTTTAGCTGAAAAAGACAGTCTGATCATACAGGCCAGACATTATAAAACTCTGCAGGAGATGTTCAAGAAAACAAAACGCAACAAAGATGCGGTCCACCAAATCCTTGACCTTGAGTTTGAAGCAAGAAGAGCCTTCATCGACAGTGATGCCATGAAAGAAGAGAACAGGCCAACAAAGATCCTCGACGCCTACCCATGTTTTAAGGATCTTCATCACGTAAGCGTAATTCATTTGTTATTTCAGCTCATCAAAAAAAACAATCATTATTGCAGGTGTTAACACTTATTGCATTACAGGTGATGAGTGAGCTGCAACGAATCCTGGATAAGGACAACATCACATACATAGATGAAGTAAAGAAGAGATGGGAAGACTTCTGTGTCAAGGTGCAATTTTACGGTGTTTCAAAGAAAGTGATGAAGCCGCCCATGAACCTGGATGCAGGTAGGGCATTCTGCTGTGTCTCTAATATACAGTGTGGCTTTTTTCATGGTTGTGATAAGGATAAAAGATAATTCTCTGAATTCTGAGAACATTTGTTTTTGTTCTCTTCTAGTGGAATATGCCATAGCTGTATTCAAGGCACTTCCCGCCCTCTTTCCTTCACCAACTGCCCCACCGAAGAAGTTGGGAAATGCCAGTGAGGCATTGCTACATGTCCTTCAGGTGAGTTTGTTCCCAAAAATTGTTGAACAATCAAGGGGCGTGTCCACAAAAAGGGCTTTTTGAGCCACCACTAGGAGTGCTAGCCTTTCCCGTGCCATTATTTTTTTTATTGATTTGATTATCATTTAATTTCTTTTAGTCCTGTGTTTAAAACACAGGACAGTTTGTTTTCATATACCACCACAGTGTTGTTGTTTTTTTTTGTTGTACCCTTGAAGAAATTTCTCAGATTTGTTTCTTTCTTCTTTTTATTAGCCAACAGAACCAACCTTCAGGAGAGACCACTCTCTGCACTTGTTTTGCTCTTTGATGGGTCCCGCTGTCTTTGGAACCAATCCCATCACCACATTTGCCAAAGAAGACCTTTGTGAAGGTTGAGAGAGGGCTAGCGCAAATTGTGGCACCGGCAACTCGCTGAGGCACTTCCTGTTGCAGGTTGCGGTGCCGCGGCGAATCGTGGCAGCTGCCTCGAGTTTACGGCAACTGCCTCGCCTGTTGCCTCGGCTGATTGAGGTACCTCGAGCGGTACCACGAATTCAGGGGCCGGTTCATCGGTCGAGAGAGGTACCTCCAGCGGTACCTCGAGTTAAAGGAGTCTTGCCACCACCTAACGGAGGCATGCAACGACAAAAGGGAGCGGTGCATCGGCTGATAGAGGTACCGGGAGTTTAAGGGAGAGGTGCCACGGCTGTTAATAGACGTACCGGGAGTTTGAGGGAGAGGTGCCGATAAGTGATGCAATAGCTTCCCGTTTAAGTTCAGCTAAGCTAATATGGGCTAAGACCACTCGTTGCCTTGGTTACGATAACCACTTTCCGGCAGCGCCTCGAATGAACGCAAATTGTAAATATTGATGCATTGTAACGTTGAAAATATTGAGAAGTGCTGAAAGCTTTTTGTGTATATTATATATATATATATATATATACAGGGCTGTAGTGGAGGGTAAACGCCGTTTACGCACCTCTGGAATTTGGAAATAGCGTTTACGCACCTACAAATAGCGTTTACGCACCCCTAAGTGGCGTTTACGCACCTCAAAGTTCCCTGCGCCTTGTATTCTTCCGTTGGAATAATCCGAAATAAACTTGGTGTAATTTTAAAACAGCTAATACTACGTTTCCTATTGTTGAACATATAAACGCCATAGTCTGAATCATTTTCATCTGCGCTGTATTACGGTCTGTGAGCATCCAATCAGTGCCTTGCGGCTGCAGCAGCGACACCAATCAGGATCCAGGAGGCACATACACGCTGTGGATCAGCCCAGTGGTCCCCAACCTTTCTTACCTCACGGACCGGTTTCATGTCAGACAATATTTCGCGGACCGGTCGAGAAGGACCGATGGGGGGGTAGTCGTCGTTGCGGGCGGAACGACCGACGGGGGGGGTAGTAGTAGTGGTTGCGGGCGGAACGGCCGACAGGGAGGGGGGGGGGGGTAGTAGTCGCGCGCTCTGTTCGCTGGTCGTGCACGGTAAAAGGACAAGTAAAATGCCTGGTGACGCGTAGATTAGAAAACAAGTCAGTTCTCAATGTGAAAAAAACCATGCTGTATAGTCTATTTATGATGACATAGGTAGTACATGAGTGTTCCTTTAACTCATGTTGTCAGTGTAATTGCAGAGCTGCCAACTTTTCAAAAAACCTTGGAGTGAGATTTTGTCGGGGGTGACCAAGATTTTGCCGCGCACGCAGCCACACACGTTGGTGGCTCATATCAGGAAATCGGAATTCATTTGGCGTAGTACCCATGTTGTACGCTGCATTCTGGTGGTTTGTGGGGCCCAACGTCGTTGAGAGGGGCGGCCTGCTGGAGATGGACAACATTGGTTACATTCTGAGAAGCAGAGACGTAGCTGATGGTCCACCCCAAGGACATTCTGGTTTAAGTAGATCTTATTTCATGCATTCTAGTGGATCTTTGGGTGGTATGCCTGAACTTATTCTGATTCATGTTTATCTGCTCATGACTTGTGGGGCCTTCTAGACTTGAGCTGAACATTCATCCAGAAAACTATTGCTGTGCCTCAATGACTGTCTATGTACCACAAAATAGCCTAATTAATAGACCTGTGTTTAAGATTTGACCAATTTAGGTTGATTGACATTTTGATTACAATGGTATTCAACTAACTCTTAACTGAAACCTCACCTATATTGTTAATAATTGTATTATTAAGAGCACTTAATGATTCATGTTCAGCAAAAAATGACAAGTTTAGTTAGGGAAAAATATTTTTCATTATCAAACAAAAAAGTGCAACAAATAAAGTGCTTAAACAGGAGCCTTTCAAAGCAAAACAATTTATACACATAATATAAATACACATAAATAAAATAACAAAAGATGAGGTATTAAGAAGGAGATCAGAAGCTGGTTAGTCATTTTTTATCAAGCATTGTTTATTAAGGCTTAATAAACAATGCTATGATGTTTTGAGCATGCAGTACACCAAGAGGTTAACAAGGTGCTCTCCTGCTGCTTGTTGTGACAGTTTACATTCACCACTCAAAATCACACAAACACAACTAATCAGTTCTTTCAAGATTTAAAGTTTAAGAGAGTGAGTACTTAATTGAACCACATGTCATTAACGTACCTTAGTCTTTGCTCCTCCTTAGTTTCTCCCGCGGTTGTGTCTGTTTGAAAACCTTCTTTTGTTGCTAACTCCGGGACTCTTCGGGGTAAACAGGATGTCTATGCAGCGAATAGGTTCACAGACGCGCTCCTTAGCGCCGTCTATCGTCGGGGAGTTTGAAAACGAACGAACGCGCTTCGGCCCAAAATCAGAATTTATTTTTTGCCGTGAGAAATTGGTTGTGTGGCGTGAGTGCGTGTGAAAACATGCAAAAGCGTGTGTCACACGGCGAAACCGTGAGAGTTGGTAGATCTGTAATTGACAGGCTGCTTAACTGGTTAACTCTTAAATTCAACATATTTTTTCAGGCAGTGATGCAGAGAGCACAGGGAGAGGAGAAACACCAGGTCCAATAAAGAGAGGAGAAGCACAGAGGAGCCATGAACCCCAGAACATGTGTTCTGGGGTTCATGGCTCCTCTGTGCAAGGCAGGACCTGACGTGGAGGACAAGGAGGCCCTCTGGGCACTACTGTAAAAAGGAGACTCCATATGTAGATAGTTCTTAATCTGCAATTGTCTTGTTGTGTTGTGTTGACATACTTTTCTTCACTGTTTTCTTAGATTTAATAAACTACAAACTACTTACACATTTATCCATTGTCATTGATTGTATATGACTTTTACTGATAACATAATGCAATATAGCCAGGACAGCCTTACAGAGTCGCGACGCTTTGTGTTGCGTTGCTTCGCATCGCGTCGAGGTCTGTATGATCACAAAATTCAGAGTTTACCCACCTCTAATTTTACCACTACAGCACTATATATATATATATTATTAGTAGTAGTATAGGTATATCAAATCTTAGTCCATATTACAGTTCATTCAAAGGCCTAATTTTTTTCTCAGTGCTGAAGACACGTCAGGAAGTGACAGAGAAAGCAGTGGTAAGAAATCAAATCGTTGCAGTACAAAACCAAGACACAATTACAGAGATGATTTTGAGCACATTTATTTCTGCATTAAAAAACAAAGCAGAGATTATTTTATTTCACCCACTAGTAATATTCTATATTTTTGTCAAGAGTACTAGGTTTAAAACAAAACTGTTAATTTTTTACGGACTTATCTGCAGATATCATTCAGCGCATTCACAAAAGAACAGAACTTAATTTATGCATTGCATTCATGCACAGTAAAAACAATGGACGTGAAAAAACACCATATAGATGAATCTAGTGATTCTTTAATAAAATACTTTTTAAGAAATACATGTTTGTCTCCCTAGTAAACAATAAAAACTGTTTATAGCATGATATTGTCATAAACCGGGTACCTTCCTCTTTTTCCTTTCCACCCCTTTCTTGTAATTTACACACACTCGCACCCCCCCTTTACTTACACACACACACACACACACACACACACACACACACACACACACACACACACACACACACTTAATTACACCTGCTCATTCATTTCCAGCTGCTTCTCATTCTCTCATCTCATCATCCTCTCTTCCTGCTTCCTCTAATTAGACACCATTTCTAGCCTCCCTCTTCCCCTTGTTCTCCGCCAGAGCCTTACCTGTGCACCCGACGTACCTGAGCTCGCTGTCCTGTATCACCTGCCTTGTTGTGTCCTGACGGTTCGTGCTGAACTATTATTGTCCCGTTGCTAACCTCTGCTTTACCCAGCCTCCTGTTTGACGTGAGCTGCCTGCTGTCTGGTGCGCTCTCCCTCGGCCTGGACCTCGTTCTCTGCTCATTGGGCTTCACCGTTGCCGGCCAAACGCCCGTATTCTTCTGTTTGTGTGTTTGTGTTCATTAAAACACTTTACGTTCCCTTGCGTTTGGGTGGTCGCTTCTTCACAAGCACAACAGATATAGTCAAAAGGAAATAAATATAATTTAAAGAATGTCATTTTTTCCTTTTATGTAACATCCATCATGAAGGTACTGTCTGTTGCCTGATCATGAAACAATATAGAATACGGTTAATACTTTAATCCAGCAGCTTTTGTGCAATCACTGGATATCTAAAAACAGTCATGCACACAATCAAGCTCAGGCAAATTCTTTTGTCAACAATTGTAGTCAACATTAATTTAAATGAAAATACTGGTAACTCCTATTATATATCGACATTCAATTTTAGACACGTCTTGATGGCACCCACCCAGTGTTATTGTTTGTTCATATAATCACATACCCATTAATTAGTTCTCAAAGTAGAGATTGTAACCAGGGCGGCAAGTGATCTTAGTCCATATTGGCTTAGCTGCACTAAAATGGGAAGCCGTTGTATCACTTACTGGCTTTTTATTACTAAAATAATAGATAGATAAATACTTTATTGATCCCTCAAGAGGGAAATGTTGGTATCACAGCAGCATGTACAGGGAAGAAAATAGAATGAAAAGATACACATTATATAGAATATAATAAGATAGAAATATTAAATAAAATAAACTGAAACAAAAGAATAACCTTCCAAAAGAGACAATAATAATCATTTGTAAAAGGAAAAGAGGAAGAGGAAAGAGCAGCAACATCACAGGAGTACAGGGTTATTATTGTCATTATTTAGCCAGGGATGATTTATTGTAAAGTGTTATTGCACTGGGCAGGAATAATAATACTCGTTAATAGTTAATAATAACTACCAACACTAGTACCTTTAAAGGCAGTATTGTATTGTCACATATTGGCAAATTATAAAACAAACATATCATCATATTTGGGAAATAAAACGGCAACAAAGTCTGGCGCAAAGTCGAGGCAGCTGTCGTAAAAACGGCAACCGTCGAGGCACCACTGCGGCAAAGTCGAGGTAGCTGTCGTGAAGCTGTGGCAATTGCCTCGAAGTCATGGCAAGTATCTCGACTTCGTGGCAAGTGCCTCGTGAAATCGTGGCAAGTGCCTCGAAGTCGTGGCAAGTGCCTCGAAGTCGTGGCAAGTGCCTCGAAGTCGTGGCAAGTGTCTCGACTTTGTGGCAACTGCCTTGTGAAACCGTGGCATCTGCCGCAGTGTCGAGGCAGGTGCCACGATTCGCCGCGGCACTGCAACCTGCAAAAGTAAGTGCCTCGGCGGGTTGCCAGTGCCACGATTTGCGCTAGCTCTTACTGGGAAGGTTTGCTTTATCTGATGGCTTACTAGTACACTCTGCATCTCACCTATCCAAAGTGTGTGGCAACACTCCTCTCAGTCATTCAGACAGAAATATTACAGGACTCTATTCATGAGCAAGACATGACGACCTCATACAAAAAAGCCATGACAGAATGGACAGAAAGGATTTTATTGGGAAGTAG